AAAAGACACACGTCAGTGATCACGCACAAAAAAAACAAAGATCTTATATGCCATCGGACTTGAATTCTACAGGTCACCTAACTATAACCTTAATCTTAAAACACTCATCGACAAATCTGATTTGGATAAAAAAATAATGAGACACAAGTACATGTACAGTACAGGCATAATTTACCTTTCAGCCTGGCTAATACCGGTAGATGGCTTTGCCTTTTCATAAAAACCTAATAAGTTTTAGTATGTCATTGTCATCAATAATTTACCTACGTGTATGTTACTAATATGAGACATATTTGGACAGATTACTGGTTTAAAGCTAGCTAAATGTTTAAAGTCCATTGTGAAGCACTCTGGGAATTATGGAGGTGTGTAATTTCCGATAGCTGGCTGTTAAAGTATATAAATAAACACAGAAAGTCTGGTTATAAACAGATGACAAAAAAGAGTGTACCGGTATTTACCGTCACTGTTACATGTGACTGACAATATTATTGAAAGGAAACTTTTAATTTGTTTTTCTCTGCCCCCCCCCCCCCCCAAATCTAACCACGCTTAATAAAAAACCATGATCTAACTAGGTTTTCAAGAAATCATTATGAAATTGACATACAATCAGTAGTATGATAGTCAGTTGTAAATTGGCTGGTTTTCAATCTCCTAACTACAATGTACCTATTAATAGTAGGTATTACATGTACGCTGATTAGAGACATTATGATTGCCTTCGATTGACGTCCATTGTATAGTCATAATTAAGTTATGCTTGAATGTACTGTAAGCATGGGCAACTAAATTTTCTAGTATTGGTAACCATTGAAACTAAACTGTGCATGTCTCAATAGTCAGCAAATGACAGACAAGTAGCACAACTCAAGAAAAAGATTTGTTAGCTAAATATAGCTGTATATACGGATAACCATTGAAACTTGTGATTTAAAACTTTCTATCCTAACTGATATTCCAAGATGATCTAAGATTGTTCTTTGTGGGTTACACAAGACATAATTAGTTATAAAACTTCTTTCAAAAGTTGTGATAAAAAGTTGGCTGCAAACTTTGGGCAGGTTAAAGCATAGACAGTATAGTACATGTACTACTGTACTGTCTATGGTTAAAGTTTCATTTAGACAGGAGCAAAGTGGTTACCAGGCATCGATCACATGTCTGCATTGAACAACACTAGCTTAGAGGCATGATAAGTTGGCTCAGAAACGTTTTGTATTGTGCATTATAATGACATTATAGTATTGGTAGTTGCATAGCACCAGACTCTCCAGGCAAAATCCCATGTTGATTAATTTGTATTACAACAATATCTAAATGCATATGTACTTTCTAAGAATAATGAAAAACATCAATAAAATTCAAATCAATTCTCCATGGATTACATAATGTTTTTTTGTACCTATGATTGCCTCTTATGCTCTATGATTGCTCTTATACAAGTCCCCAGTCCTGGTCCCTGGATCTAAAAAAACAAAAAAAGGGTCCGCAGAGGCATGGACTCTCTCTCTCTATTTGTAGTCACATTTGTACATCATAGTACATGCACATTTACCAGTGTTAAAGGCCAATATCATACTTCTAAATATGGAATAAAGCTTAAGTACAAATTAGACAAAGTACTGGCCAATTCAAAATTTAGTTACGAGTATGACCCTTCGGACATTGACCTATGTAATGTAGTCGGCACCATCAATGCAGATCCCCCTTCTCATGATTCACGACATGGCGTTAATTTTTATGTTGCCACTCAACCTCCACTTTGTACTTGTTTGACCAGAGACACTACAAAAAAAGTCTTTGGTTTGACGGACAATACATTTTTTTTAAAGACAACGCGCTCATTCCTTTGCGTCTATTATAAATTTTGTTTATGGGTAAACTCACAACCTGTTGAGTTGTATAAAAATAGTGTGAATAAACTACCTGTATGACAGGAAGTGGATACAGAACTCAATAATGCTGACAGGAAGCTAGTCACATGGTTAGTGCAATGACCACCAACTTCTCATCCATGTATGTATTTTGCAATGTATTAATTAATTATCAAGTTATGTCTATTTTATATTCAAACAATCATTGCATTCACCTATCATTTCAGTATAAGCTAAATAATCAAAGTAGAAAAGGTTCAAGCTGAATATGATCTGTTTTTAGGACCCAGACAGACATGGTTTCTTTCATGTTAGTACCGTATTATAGAATATTATACTTAGTACAGACCAACAAAATATGTTTGGTTTATTTATTAACACACAACATCCCCCGGAGGGGATGAAAAGGGTTACAAATCAGATATTAGTAAAAGAAAAATAACTACATAAAAAGTAAAGAAACAAAAAGCATAAAGAAAAAAAATAAAAGATAAAAATTTGAATACAAGGAATGTGTTACTGGCTTAGTTTATGTAGGTGCTGCTGTCTTGTATTAAAACAGTTTTTTAAATATTATGCTGAAGGTATTGACATTTTCTCGTCACTTAGTATATGATATGAATTTATTTTCATTACTAAATTTGTCAAAATTTGGTATACATTTATTAGCTACAATGTAAAGTTTTAATCTTATTTCATTGTAATGAGGACAATTTGTGACAAAATGTTGTTCATCTTCAGCATGGTCATTGTCGCACATATTGCAGACTCTGTCTTTAAATGTGCAAACCCCTCACTCAGACTAAGCACTCCATTCGATCATAACATTTGACAACGTACCATTGTATTTATATTCTCTAAGACAGACCGGAAACGGAAACGAGACAAAAACAAAAGATTTTTCAAGTTAGCGTGGGGGAAATAACGTTGCTAAGTAGTATCGTCAGGGAAAGCTATTGCTTAAGCTAGTCTGTGATTGGTTGCTGGCAATGTTTGGGGGATTTTGACCAGTGTGTGACGTAGGCTTGACTTGGAGAATGTAACATTTTCTATTACATTCATGACTATTTATTTACTCTGGTAAGTCATTTAATTCCGACATGACAAGCAATGTGAACTCAGTCGCTCTCAAGAAAAAAATAAACAGATGATTAACAAACCTTCCACAAGAAAATTGACAATTAAGAACAAAAATCATACCACGTGATGAGTTTGCATAATCAACCACCCCCAAAAAGTATTTTTTGTCCATGCCTGTACATCAGGATTTGAAAAGTTTAGCATTAATTAGCATATAATTAGCAGCATTTACTCATAATGTTCATGATAGTCATTAGACATTTTACATTTTACTTATCAATTTAATTATCACATTTGTAATCTGACCATTGACATCTCTTTATTGTTTTATTTTTTATTTTCAGTAAGCTCACTAAAAACTACAAATAAAATCTGACTTAATAATTCAAACCAATGTGGCCAATTGATCTCACAGAACTACATTGAAGCATTTTATCCTTCAATGTCCTTCCTTTAAAAGTGAAAGGAAAAGACTTTTTGAAGATTATGATCTCAAGTCTAATTTACCAGACGATATTTTTCTTGAGGTAATGAAAAATGCAAAGGCCCTTTCACTATACTATTTATAAATCCCCTGTTTAAAAGTTGTGAAAATATCACCATGAACGAAAGACAACCCAGCCACCAGTATTGCAACATAACTCACTGTTTTGCTAACAAAAATAATTGTGAAAGATATTGATACAAATGTAACAGCTTGTCATTACAAAAAATTATATTTTAATTATCAATATTGCTATTTTGTTTGCAAAACAGTGAGTTACATTGATGGTTGTTTTGCTTTTGCATTCAAGTACATGTATCAGCAGAAAGTATTTCTTTTGTACCCCAACCCCTAATCCTAACTTTAACCCTCACGTCAAGCCCCCCCCAATTCAATTGTATATGCCCCTCCATAGGAGGAACATATACATGATTTGTTAACTTTCATTATGGTGCAATAAATGAAATTATTATTATTATTAATATCATTAATAATATTATTAGTATTATTATTATACAATTAAATGGCGGCGCTAGAGAGTAGGGTTAGTATTGGGACGGGGTATATCCGAACAGAGCCCAGACTACTAAAAGATTAGTGTAGTAGTAACACAACATGCATTTATAGTGTAGTAGCATTAGTGGTCAGAGATTGAACAGTTGGTCACATGCCACAGTGACAGCACAACAACACAAGGAAACACATGCATGTCGAAATTTCAGGCTTGTTTACATACGTTCACGATCGGATTAATCCGCAAACACATAAACATTGCTGCTCGGTATTCGTCAGAATAGAAAATAGATGCTGAATGAACAAATAGATTAGCTTCGTTTACCGCCTGTGATTGTACCAACACATGATCGGACATTGGAATCGTACTGCATAGATACATGTAAATATCATCACAATTATTATCGTGTTCTAAAAATACGGTGTATGTATGTATTCAAATCTTACCTGAACTGAGATGTCCGTTAGTTTCTTGTGAAGTGGGTTGTACTGGGTGCAACGACAGTTTTGTTTACGATGTTGCAACGAGACAGTAACGTTATGCGTCGAAGCCGGAAATAAAACTGAATGAAATGTATTCGTAATTTGCATACAAAATGGCCTCCCAAGAAATACTATTATGGGATAGAGGGTGAACGACTGTATTATCATCAATAACTGGTTTCATTTTATTGAAATGTTATTTTAATTTCTCATTGTTTATTGCCACACAAGTTAAATGTCACATCTAAACCAAAATACACATCACACAAGTATGTATACATTTAAATTCGAGTATCATGCTCTGAACGTTCGTCTATACACAAATCATGGGAGCAGCCATTTTGAATAATTAAAGACCGCTGGACTATTTGTAACGTTCCGCATATTTAAATTATTTTTGGGAGAATTCAATTGAAAACGATCGTACTTAAAGCAAAAAAAATAGTTATGATGTTAGTGGATTATTAAACTCTGTTAGCATTGTAGTGAAAAACACAAGTATCACTGATACAGAGAACTACTGTATTACTCCGCGCTTGACCTCAGCTGCCCGTGAAAAGGCTAGGGGTCAACAGTCGTTATTTAGATCCAGAACTATATATTGACTGCGCTGTTAAGATTTTTAAGGTATTTGCAATTTTTAATATGAATATGAGCAATTAAGATAAATTTCGCACTTCATAGCGGTCATGGTCATAGTCGATTTTGTGATAGCGTGTGTATAGGTTATTCATCATCAACCATACTCAGTCTAGGCGTATTTCAGACAGACAAGTCAGAGATGTTTCCAATGCTCAATGTCTTGGGATGGGATCGACTGCTCTCTGTATAACGTGTATATGGTATAATATTCTGATATGACGTACACTTTCACTTCATAAAATATAGTATTTACTGGTAATAGGTTGTACAAATTTGAAATCATTTATGCACAAACACTATTTTACCTTTTAGTATGTCTTGTATGTACCATTATTCCTCAAAGAAGGCTGTGTACACAACATAATTGTATTAAGATAAGGTTATGCAACTGGTGTGCTATATGATAAAGATCCTATTTGAAGTCGCATGCAAGATAATCACAAAAAGACAAGTTTTATATATGCTGTATTAAAATTGTATCTCCAATGAAAGTGAATAAACCAAACCATAGACACATTTTCATTTGCATAACTATGCACTAACTGCTAACAGCAAATCCTCTCAGGTTGTTTTCTCTAGTGTCCTTGTGTAGTCCTTGTATTGCATCTGTTTTGAATAGGGCATTGACCTCTCTCTCATGTCTGTTATTTCTACATTCAAACCTTCTTTAGAAAAAAGAACTTTTGAGGAATTAGATCTTAAATGCATATCTCTGACTATAACAATCTTAAAGCGAAAGTAGCATAGAAGATATTTTCAGTTCACAACATCTTATTCAGTTTTATAATATTATGTTGTTTTGGATTTATATCAGTTATATTGAATCAAAACTTTGCGTTTGTTACCAGGTAGATGAAGCTACAGAAAAATTTCTAATTTAAAAAATCAATGTGGAAAGAAGTATGACCACCCTTGAGTAAGGCCAGACTTGTTTTTTCCCTGTTTCTCGAGTTTTTATAAGGCAATTTGTTTGAGGAGGGCGGAGAAAAATAAAATTAATTCTTTTTTTTTCATTAGATTTGTGTGATTCTCAAAGAATTGTGAGTGAGATCATTGATCGGAGAGAAGAAATGAAATAAAATTTTATTCCATGTATAACCTTGTTTCTCATCTGCGCGAGACTTTGATCATGATACTCCCACGAAAATGTAACTTGGGTTTGTTATGTGGCAGGCAAAAAAAAAATGAAGATAAAAATAATTTTTTTTTAGCAATTTTCAGCACTAACAAGTCGGCGAGAAATTGCGCTGAAATAAAATTTTATTTTTATTTAATTTTCGGCTCCTGTTCATTAGGCGGGTTCGCAAAACAAGGGATAATAAAAGTCTGGCCTAAATAGTGTAACCACATTATAAATCTAAGTACACAAATGTATGTTTGTTTCTCAGCTTGATTTCAAGTATTAACCCCTATCACTACAAAAAGTTGTTTACAAATTATGTGATCCATGACTGTTCAACTTGGTTCTGAACTTTCATTGCGAGTATGCAATGACGTGTGTCAAATGCCTCATAACAAATGCTATTGACCTGACTGTAAAACTTGTTACAATCGGTGTTTCGTTTTATTTCTGTCAATTTGGAATGCGATCATTATGCATTTATCATTAACAGCATAAGCAAACCACATTTTTTATAATAGAGTTGCACATGTTATATTTTGTCCGCGTAAACTAATGCGTCTACTTCAATTTGAAAGTGTGGCCGCCTTCCACATGACAAAAAGTATGTGATTGACATATTATCTGTGAGCCATCAGAGTACTCACTGATGCCATTGGTGTTTGTACTGTAAACAGTGAACAGCAAGATTTGCATTCAAGATATCAAGGTCTATGAGCCTTGTATCTTCAGCATTTCCAGAAACTGCAGACATCATTTGACTTGGTGACCATGGATGTCGTTTTGCTCTTGCGCATGTTACTTTGCCCTGAAAAATATGTGCAGTTCTTTATGTTAAAACAGTGTGTCTGAAGGTGAGGTTATCAGGAAATAGATGTGCTGCAAGCACATGTCATCAGGCACTCTATCAAGCATAGAATATTCTACATGGGTAAATTCACTATGACACCATTATGATTTCATTATCCACCATCAATTTATCTTTGGGTTAATTTATTTGGCCGTCGCCTCACCATTATACCTTGGCAGAAGTCCCACTATAAACCTGTATTCATTGATGTTGAAATCAAACACAAAAGTGGCACATGCTCTGGTGCATTTTTATGGTAAATGGAACACAAAATCAAGCATTGTTGTGCGTTTCCATGGGAAATCAAACGCAATCGAATATTTTTGTCAGTTATGCTATGATGATGCGAGTTGTTACAGAAACGTTGATTGATGTATCCAGCTTCTTGGCATACCCAATCAAATCATTAAATTTAACTGACGTCAAACACAGTTTTTACTAACGCAATCACAAACTGGTTCGCAGGATGGCCATAGATGCTTGAATGCAACGAAACAGTACAAAACCCTATACAGAATACAGCATGGTTATTTGTGATCCTTTGTACTTTGCAGGTTAATTCATTTAAAATGGATTTAGGTGACAGTAATTCAAACCAAGGACTGATGTCAAATACCGGTCCATCTATGTTTAATTATGAAAGCTTTGATGATGATGTGTCTAAAGAAAGCAACGATTTGACAGTGGATGCAAGGTATGTAGATTGAATCTTTTGTGATGTTGTAGTAGTAGATTTAGAATGTTGCCTTGAATAACTGCATTATAAGAAGACAAATACAGTTTGTGACAGTTTTTACATATATATGTGAAATGGTCAACTCATATAGCTAGATGTCTAAGGAGTTTGTCTGATGAACCTCCCATCCAAAATCTAGCCCATGGGTGATGTTTTGGTAGGTGCTCAATCTTTTGCTTGCCAAGAATCCTGTCTTTTACTGTCAAATACTGACACTCTTCAGAAATTCTCAAATACATTCAGCCGGCACTACCCAGCATTCTTATGGTTAACTACAGGCTTATCTATTGAGCCAAACAGTGCAGTTTCAGGTCAACTCTTGCATGAAACAAACATGGCGGACTTAACATATTTTACTTTTTTATTGCAGTTTTACCGGTGGAGATGGTCCAAATTTCACCAGTACTACTAGCCAGTCTCTAAACAATGAACTCATAACAGATATATCTCAAGGTATTCTACAATAACTGTCTAACCTACAGCAACTGTTAAATTTTTACAGTTTTTCAGTGAGTTCGCATGGATATATTTTGGTGAATGTCACTGACTGACTAAAAATTACTTGAAGTCTTTAACAATAGCAGTAATTTAGCCATGATCCTAAAGCAGTTGTTATTAACATAACATATGATATGGTTTTGCAAATTAATTTACCAGTACTCTATGCTACATGTATTTTCCTGTGGAGAACGCTAACTATCCCATCCTGCATTAAATTTTGAAATTCTATTGAGGAACACAGTCAGTTTACTAAACTAGAGTGTTTGCAATAGTCCATAAAAATACGTTTTATAAATTTAAGCTTAAAATGACTTATGTTTACAGATATACATAAACCTGTATCTCAATCATCGATGGGCAAGTCCCTCATGTGATTAGATTACTGATCCCTAGATGCTGAAAACTAATAAAACCACATATACAGAAGTGTTTGGTAGTGGTCGAATAGTTGAATTTCTGACTCAGTTATATCTTGTAAATACTGCAGTTGTTATATTTGATACTAATTATAAACAAAATATTGTTGGGGAGTAAATGTAGTGTGTAGCAGTTAACTCCCTGGGGTAGGATTCGGGAAGACTATACCGGAACACAACCAAGCAGATCAGTTGTATGCAAAAGCACGTTAGTGATTTATTGCGAGATAAACTGACATAGTAACTAGTAGCAACAGATGAACACTGGTGAAATACATAAATTTGAAGTATATATACTCATTGAATGAACGTAAGAGAAAGCACGAGTATAAATCGCAACATAAATATATATGAGCGACAACGTATTGACGTGATTGGCTAAAATTAAAACAATCTGATAGGCTGAGAGATTTATCTCAGAATCCGATGTAATGTTACAAGACTACTTCTCTAAAAATATATCCTACAATATAACTTCAAGGGCCCCATTGAAAAGTTGGTTACTACAAAATGTTCTCCTTGCAGCTGTTTACAGTACATATACAATGTATATATTGTTTATTCTAGAACATTTCCGTAACAAATTATTATAGTGACAGTTATCTGTAAATAAACATTCTTCTGAAGCATCAAACTTTATGTAGACTTTATTTCTAGGTCTTTCGTGATTTGTTGTATTGTATGGTTATTGGTACTTACTAAAAATATCATCTTATAGTTAGCAGGGTTAGTACATAGTCTGATACAGATCAACAATAATCATGTTCTCGAGTTTGACAGCCTTCCTCATGACAAAATGCAGATCCTATAACAACCCAGCTCATGTTAATTATTACTATGTATTCTCTTCTTCAGTTGAACTCTTACAACAGGATACTTCATCACAGGATGTTCAAGAGACTCAGAAAGAAGAGGTATGATATAAAGTAATTGCGTATTACACTATACTATGTGTACACTTGTACAAATGATTCAACTGTATGTGTGTTCAATGAAATCTGTGCTGGAATACATTGGTTCGTATTTAATTCTCCCTCTGATTAAAACTTATTAAAATAAATTATATAAAGTGGTGATGATATTGTTAGCCCCTTGAACTCACAGCAAATGTCTATGCCAGTGCTGCATATTCAATAACAGTTTCTTCTGATGCAAATAAAAAAATTAATAATAATGTTATGTAATGTAATGTAATGTAATGTAATGTAAAATGTAATGATGCCAAACAGAAAATTTTTTGGATTTGGGCTATACTACCGGGGTAGCTTACAAATTTTATTAAAAAGTGAAATACCAGTACAAATGCAAAACAATAGAATGATCACTGAAAAACAAACTCTTGCTTGCACCCTCACTGGCACCAGTACAGTTTCTAATAATCAGATTAAACTCGTATATTTGCACATTATGCAGATGACATTTGACATTTGAAAACTATCATCGGCTTTGTTATTTTCTCTTTGCATTTGCATTGTTCAACTTTTTGTGTTGTTTTGGGATAACTGTATCAATGAGTTTTATTGGAAATATTAGGCTACACACAGTACTCTATGACTATCATTGCCTGATTTTCTAGGCCTACAACAGAATAGGTGTGTTAGATCATGTACATTTAACATGAAAAGTGATATGCAAATTTTTAGTTCATGAGTAGAAACTAAAACTGCAAGGGACATTTTTATGTTTTTCCATATTAAAAACAAAATACATGTAATAAAACTAGCAAGTAAGTCTAGGTTTGGGCTTGATATGGTGCATGTAATTGTGCAATCTTGTCCTGTGAATTTATGCACCTACAATTTAGAATTGCTTTCATTCAACTTTAGGGGGCGCTTTACAGTACTACAAAATGTATAATACCGGTACATACCATTTTTGTTGTCAGAGAACAAAGGGTAAAGGTGGTTGGCCAAAAGGTAAGAAAAGAAGAAAAACTCTAAAGGATGTCAATGCACCTAGAGCACCCCTGACTGGCTATATTAGATTTTTAAATGATAGAAGAGAGAAAGTGAGGAGTGATAATCCATCGTTGACATTTCCTGATGTCACCAAGATGTTGGGAAATGAATGGAGTAAATTATCACAAGCAGAGAAACAGGTATGGTATTACCGGTAACTTAACTGTTCACCTGGCAGTTTGCATAGTTACTACAAGGTGCACTGTGCTCATATAATAACCCAGTGGTACTTTTTGGTTTAAATTATTTTAACCACTGAATTATAATCTATGTAGGGACTGGTGGGTGATGGTAAAACAAGCACTATAGTGGTACTGTCACACTGTATCTTGGGAAAGAACACCGCCTGGAAATAAAAGATTTGATTTGTGATGTAGATTAGACAGATTTGCAATTCCTTTAAACTGTCTCGTTATGATTCACTGCACGTAAATGCTAACACATCCCTTAATGCTAGTTCAATACTTAGTGGTGCAGTCACACTTGTCTGTCCATGTCAGAGAAACTTGGACAACTGATAATATACCATGGTTTCTCATTCTGTCTTATCACATGTATTTTATTATTAACAGAGGTATTTAGATGAAGCTGAGAAAGACAAGGAGAGATACATGAAAGAATTAGAGCAGTATCAACAAACAGACTCGTACAGATTATTCACTAAAAAACTACAAGAGAAGAAAAGAAAAACTGAATTATTAGAAGATGCTGAGAATAGAGGTGTTAATGGTGCCACGGCTGAGGTAAGTCTTTTATTGATGTACTGGGTTTTTGCTAACTCAGTTCGAACAGTCACCAATGGCTAATTTCAATTAGATTTGGTTGCAGTAAATGTGTCACTTTGTCATAATTGACTAAGAGTCATTTTAAACTGAATTATTCTGTGAAAATGGTTATCATTTAAAAACATGTCATCATGCACAAAAATGAAATGAAAAGGAAAACGTATTTGTTACAGTAGCACATTTCAATTTTCCACAAAAATCTGACAGATTTGTGGCTAAAAAACATGATTAAAACATCATCTCGATGTTGTTCCGTTCTGACATTCCTTCCTCCTCAACCCTGTGCGATAACTCCATTCATAACAGTGTATGTTGCACAGTAAAAAGTTTATCGACCAATACAAATTATTTTTACAAATGACTGCCAATAAGCACTTTGATTTTTGCTTTTCCTTTGTCTTCATCTTCATCTTCGGCTTCATTTCTGCTGATATATGTTGCAGTGACATCATGAGCCTTGAGGTATAACACCTGCTCCTCCATAATACTCAACAGTGGTGACAACACTATTTGCTCGCTCGTTGTTTGCAAGGCCGTGAGTTGTATGATGTCCCGATATTGTTGCTGTATTGCATCGTCATTCAAGCCAACACAGCTTCCACTGTGGGCAGCCATATTTGTTTTGTTTTCTTTTGGTCAAGCGTGTTGATGAAAGAAGCAACCTGATTGGCTGTTGATAAACTGATTCTAAACTGTGAGGGCACTGTCACATTCACATACTTCAAGATGGGTTAAAACTGTTTTATATTTCACAGACACCTAGCTGTATTGTTACTAGAATTCAACGCTGTTTTTCCTAATAAAATTAAACTTTATGTAACCACTTTATATAACATCCTGCCACGTAGTGACAACCTTTGGTCATAGACATAGCAAAATAAAGTATGGATGTTGTCCTACACAAAATGAGTTGGTTATTTTCATGTATTCAACCTTGTGCATTCTTCAATTACTTAACAAGTAAATGAACTACCCAACATTATTGTTTAGCTACCAGCTTTCAAAATTTGTACCCAATTAGACTTCCATGAACAAATTTTATTTTTGAATTCTGCAAGTCAAATGACTCTTTATGAAGGCTAACATGATATAATATGATTGCATATTTCACACTGGTCTTTAACATGACATTTTTAATTCACTCAAGGCAGATAAACGTAATATCATAATGTGTACTCATCATCAAATATATCAGTTGATAAATTGTCTCTTAAAATGTGAAAAGTAACTTTCAGATAAGGCTGCCTATAAAGGTGACTTGAAAAATGTGATTACTAACATTTCTATGTAATAAAAACTTGATTTGTTTGATAGTTTCATCATAAATACAATGTAATGTGCTGTCTTTATTGTTTTAAATAATTGATATAGTTTGATGATGGTGAAGAGGACCTCCCAGGATATGATATTCCTATTTTTACAGAAGAATTTCTTGACCACAATAAAGGCAAGTATACTAGGAAAATTAATTTATATTTATAAGGAAATGAAATATTAAAATGATCACAAATGAAATTTTACACAGGTTTTTCTTCGGTCCAAATAAGTTATATTTTAATGATTGTATACAACAACTGCATTTTTAGCTACGCTGTCAATTTTGTGATTGTGATACTTTTTTGACTTCCTCTAGAAAACTACAAGCCCTTATTGCTTTGATACTTGGTGTATATATTCTCAGATTTGTTCATTTCTTGATGATATCTTTAATTTTGATGAATATTTTTGTCATTTTTGGTAAAAAGTGATAGTTTCATCTTCTTGTTAAAAACTGCAAATACTGTTTAAAATGACATATGCGGGATGTATTGACAAAGGCAGCCGGATCATCGCTCAAAACTATGACAACAAATTGTTGCTGAATAATCCAACAAAAATGTTAAAAATGTTTTTGACATAATATAAACTATCATTTGACACATCTGCTTAAAGTCTTCATGGACAAACCAAAATCAATGGGAAAAAAGGGTGTTACCAAGTGATGGAAACATTTTTACAGTGAAATAAAGTGAGTATCGGTAGGTAGTAGGTAATACATAAGCGGGGATCAAGATTAACCAACACATGTACTATGATAACCAGCATATCAGTAATTATATATATTCTGTCGTCATTCTATACAGCGAGAGAACAAGAGTTGCGTCAGTTAAGGAAGGCCAACACAGAGTACGAAGAACAAAATGCTATCCTTAGTAAACATATAGAAAACATGAAATCAGCCGTAGAGAAGTTAGAAGTGGAGGCTGTACAGCAGAGAAACCATAATGTGGCATTGCAACAACATTTAGATGCTTTAAGAACAGCATTAACATCTAATTTTGCACATGTACCATTACCTGGTAAGGACTACACATGTAAGAAGAAACATTTCATATATACATGTGTTTAGTGTAAATGTCTATTTCTTTATCTCTTTCACCTCTGTCAGTCACATCTACAAATTTATTACTCGATGGCTATGATTCTAACAGGTAACACACTCTGGTACAGTACTTCTGGTAAAATTTACTATCAAAGGAAATTTATCAATTATTTTTCCAAAAGAATCATTGAAGAAAACATTTGGCATACATTCAGGTATTAATATCCTTATTGGAAATTGCTGTTATAGGACAATACCCCATAAAATGCTTGGATTTGTGACATAGCAGGTCATGCCAAGGACTTAAGCTATTCTCTAAGACAGAGTTAAGTCAATGTTACCATCAATATACATACAAGACAAGATAACACACTACTTTATCAGTTTCTCGACCCATCTTAAAGATCTTATCTTAAAACTATAGCACTTGTCTCAAACTACTGTAGATTTATTTATTTATTTTCATTGATTTTTCTTCAAATCTATTATGAAATAATATAAATTAAATTCCCTGTCAGGACAATTGTACTGTAAGTAGACTTTTAAACATGTACATGTACAGATAAAATATGAATATGAATACAACTGCATTTTCACTTATTTCACTAATAATTATAATCCATGGAATATTCAAAGTTAACCATACAATGTTTCCTTTACAATGTCGCGACTTTAAAACTTTGCAAATATATCTGCGAAAATTAAAACCCAGTGAATATTTCTCATTCTACAGTATTCAAAACAAACAAATTTGATAACATTTTGTTGTTGTAAAATATTGAATACACAAATTGAGTAGCCGCATAATAGTATTTTTCAAAAAGTTGATGACTATAGCAGGACAAGTAGTAGCGTATCAAACCTAAACATTTTTAGAAGGCATAAAAATTAATAACAAAAATACAAATGCCAATAGCATATCCACAGTCATAACAAAATATACACCATTGTAAAAAAATATGTCATGAAGTATAAATGAGTGTCACTGAGAGGTCACAACTATTCTTGACTCCCGTGTGCGAAGCACAAAAAGGGAGTCTTTGCAGTTAGTGTGTGTGTGTGTGTGTGTGTGTGTGTATGTGTGTGTGTGTCCGACTCTT